ATGCACCAAAAATCTCATTAAAGAAGTGGCTTCATTCTCCGAGCTGCCAAGGACCCTGTGCATTCCCAATACGGACACAAGAGTTTTCATGGTGCTGAGCACCTTTCAGAACGAGATGTCCAATTTCTGCAACGCTGGGGAAGGATTTCCTTCTCCTGGGATGTACTGCTAGGGAAGGTGCCTGTGCTGCAAGGAGAGGTGGGGGACAGGGATGCTGCTAAAGGGTGTGCTCCCAAAATGTGGTCCTGTGGCCTTATTTTGACGCGTAAGTGGGCACCCCCTATCCCTACACATTTAAGTACCTCTGCTTTGTCATGCAAGCCATGTTCATCGGTTCCACGTTCCCCACGGTACAAGGCATCTCCTACTGGGACAGGAGAAAGTCCAGTGTTAACTTAGAAAATCCCTGGGCAGTCCAGACCTGGAGAAAAAGGCAATTAATGACATGAAGAAAATAGATTTTCAACCCCCTCCATATGTTGTCTGGAGGTGAATGTTGCTCCGATACCGAGAGAGGCACAAAGTCCATTTGCTAGCATTGCAAGCAGAACCCTTGATTGAGTCTTTTAATTCACTGCAGCCTTTTCAAGGAAACACCATTTATTTAATGCAGCCTGGTAGTCCTGGGAGGGGGTACAAGGGTATGAACAGATGAGCCTGCCCCAGGGGCGGCAGTGCAAGAATCCTTGCTACAGCTATTGCTGGGGCAAGCTCGGGTACCGCGCACTAATGCAGGATGCTGATATTGTCACCAGCCAAGTATTAAATTGTTTGCGATCTCAAAAGGACACAATTAAGTTTAACAGGATGTTTTGCTTTTTTCCCTCCAACATCCAAACATGCCAAGGTTAAAATGGAAATAACTTTTAGACTGTAATTGCTTTTACCTTTCTGCAGTTTTCTGAACGAATATCATAAAATAGTCGGGTTTGCTTCCTCTTTTTATTAATGTGTTTCTTACGCCATTTAGCACAGTATAAATGCTTGTGCTCCCCCAGAGGCCCAGCAAACTGTTTATTTTACTTTATAAAATCCCTTATTTTTCGTTTCTAGTCTTCATTTGCATTCATATTAGATTAAAAGAAAAAAAAAAACCCCACAGAGAAACCTTTCACATGCATCTCTGAATTCAGAGTGGGTGAACCCCAAAACATTGTGGTGACTGCAGGGTTACAGGGAATGCTGTGTTAAGGAACCGTACTGAAGAGAGGAGCCAGGGAGAACCTGGCTCGTATCAAACTGGTAATCATGAAAATCAGGTATTTGTGCCAGATACTGTGGAGGAAATATCCTTTTACGTAGCAAGATTTGTGCCCAAGAGGCAATGTCAGAAATTTAGAAAAACCAAGCAATTGCAGAGGAATTGAGATGTACTCGGCAATGAGACAGAGTAGATGAAATCATGATTTCAAAGATGTTGTTACCATTACATTGTCTAATTAGTAAATCAGTTTAATTTAACCACTCATGCTGTTCAGGAGGGACAGTGACACAGAAGCAAGCTGTCTCCCTAGGGCTTCAGCCCACCGGAGCTTTTATTACATCAATAGCCTGTCCTGTGTTCCAAAAAACACAGCACATGCTTCCCAAGAAAGGTAATGAAGTTTCCCTTTTTTCCTCCGTTGTCTTCTGCACTCAGATTGAGACACAATCGGAGATTTGGGAGTTTTGGATCCTGCCCGCTGCAGCTGTACTGTCCGTTCTTCGGAGAGCAGGCATTTTCTCTAGCTGGACTCCATCCAGTTGGCTGCCACCGGCAGAATACGTGCCATTTATATTCTGTTGTAAAAATGCCATGAGCTGAAGTTTATTTAGCAAAGTCATTCCTCTTGGTCTGAGCTCTATGTTACACCGTGAAGGAAAAGAAGATGTGAACTTTCATAGGTAGGATGTTATCAAAGGCTTTTGATTAGACTGCAAAGCAGCAGCAGGACTTCCTTATTGATCTTCCACCTCCACATTTTGGGTAAATGTTTTGAAGTTTGTTGCCACCTACCAATTGACAGAACAACGAAAGGAATCCCACACGTGAGTCCATGCTGAAGAACTGACTGTGCATGCACCCCCCATATTTTGTTACTGATGATAGAGAGAAGACACCAAGTATGATGCTGGATTGGGTCTTGCCAAATCACAGTTAGACGACTCAGGATGCTATCATTGCGAGGAGTCTGGAAAGCCAAAAATTGGCAATACAGAGCAGACCATTTGGCAAACCATATGTCATTCTTGGAGCCTGAGCCTGTAATTATGTCCTGTGTCCTCTTGAGAGGAGATGCCAAAGTTCCAGTCTTAGCAGGTGGCTTGCAACTGAGTGGAACAAAACAACGGGGAATAGTGACTGTTAAGTTAACAGCAAAACCGTATATGTGGGCCCTGATAAAGTTCTCGAGTTAAGAGGTGCAGAAATGAATGAGGGGATTATATGGAATTATACAGATGAGAAAGCCCAGCTGGCTTGGTGGGAAGAATTATACCTTGGATGGGAGGAAACACTGCTTTTTCTAAAATGTACACTTATAGAATATGTTGGGTTAAAAATTAAAAAGGGAGCAGATTCAATATTAACATGATTTATTGGTATAAAAGGTCAACACGATGCCTTAGAAGGGAAGGTGTGGGGCAAGCTGCATTGGGAGTTTTATTTGTTGGAGACCTTACATTTTCAAAGCTGGTTTCAGCCTAGAATGTCATGTCATCCATAAAAGAAAGCAATCGGGAGCGCATGCCTGGCTTTTCATCCTCTACTGCTGATTTATCATGTCAATTTGTCAAGTGATTTATTGTCTGGTCCTTTTGGAGGATAATTGTATCCATTCCCAAAAATGAAAAGTGATTTAGAATTTCTAAATTACTATTTTAGAATAGCCTCAATTCTGGCTATTGCACACAGAGGGGCTGATTCAATGCCAAATTTTGATTCATAATGAAGAATAAGGGAAATGTTGGGAATTAAGGTGTCTGGATACAAGAGGGAATAAATTACCAGCTGATGTCCCTGTCTTGTGGGTGCAGTGCATGTTTTGCTCATCTGCTATGGGTGCATTCTTTTCACGTTCAGGTCTCGTTGCTATTTTTTAAGTCTCTCCGACTAATGGCCACTGTTATTTGCCTTCAGTCTAAGGACTTTTTTAACCATCATTTCTCACATAAGACTTGTTCATAACACTCTTGTTTTTCCTTGTGCGTGTTATACACTGTGAATAAAGTTCTCTTTGAGAGCACAGGAACACATCCTTAGCTATATCCCAAGCACTGAGATTTTCTCCTCCTCCTTTCTAGGGCAGGGAATGAAACAAGAAGTCTGGCTAAAAACCTTCACTTTTTTCTGTAGGTAGACTCTTCCAGTGTTTATTCACTCCCCTCTACTTGAGAACGCTCCATCCTGACAGACAGTCCTCTGCTCTTTTGTGTGCACTGGTTTCACCTCCAGCATCAGGCTGGCCACTCCTCCTTTCCTTCGCTCTAGCAGGAGCCAGGCTGAGCTGTAAGATGGATATAAAGGCACTGAGACTACCAATGCTCCAGAGTCTCCCTGCTAAAGCACGCCTTGCAACGCATTCATCTGAGTCCCCACGAGCATCATCCTCCTGTGACCTTCTGCTGTGCTTGGCCTCTGCCGAGGCATCTCTTCACACACCTTTACATCCCAGGTCGTTACAGTTGGATGCAGGGCTGTGAAATGGTGATTTCTCCTGTCTGTGACATTTCCTCACTTGACTGTCAAGATTTAAGTCTTGAACGTCAAGATTTTGCTTGTAGTTTGTGTCCGACGCCACCTTTTTCATTAGCGGTTGTGTAGCAGTTTAGAAGTTGCTGCACAAGCTTTGACTATTTCTGGAACCGATTTGCGTGTGTGCACAGCAGTAAGGTTTTACGTTGCAAATTCCCTACAGTCTTTTGGCATAAACTACTATTACTGCCTCAACAAAAGGTCACAGATAAAACCAGCGATGGACATTTAAATACCCAATGCCTTGAGACTCTTCCCTCTGCTGCTACTTCTCTGTTGGATTTATGGAGAGTAAAGTTGTTTGCTGGACAATAAATATTAAAATGTGATTGTTTTAGCTATAGACAGTCATTAAATATTACTGAGTTTTAGCAAAAGCTTTTCATAATGAACTAAATACTGCGATGGCATGTCACTGCTCCTTTGTGTAAACACAAACTTGTGTTGACTTCCATGTAATTATGCCTTTTGGCTGTCAGAAGATGCAGGTTGCCTTAGCCCATAAATTCAGTGGTGCGTGGTTCTTCGGTGTGAGCGTAGCCCCTACACAACAGACCTTGTTTGAGCCTGCGGGACGGAGTCACATCTTGCACATAATTACACTTCAAAGTGCAACAAGCTTAGGAGGTTAGAAGAGAGAACGAGGCCCATACCTCAGACGTGGGGATAAAAAAAAATTGTGTTCCAGTTCTGTTTCTGAAAATCAGATGGGATCTCTGGGGTTTTTTTGTTCTGTTAAAAAACATTCCCCCCTTCCCACTCAATACGCAGAAATGGATATACCTCTTTTTGCAGAAAGGTGGTAGGTAAGGTGTAGGAGTAAGCAGGACTTGATAGAAATTGCAGAAGATTGATGACTCCATCGCCCACCGAGCAATGCCGGTGTGGCCCTGCTGGTACCCCAGGAGGCTTGGTCAGTCCAGTGAGGTCAGACACCCATGGATGCAGTCGCTGAAGCAGCCAGGGAGAAGATGGAGAGGGCTCTGGGAAAAATAATAGATCAGGCCAGAAGAGCGACAGGGAGAGGAGGATCCCTGCCAAACTGCTTGCAGCGTAAGTTGCCCAGACTCCAAAGCAGCATGTGGAAGGCTGAAGCGTGCAAGGGACATTCAGCTTTTACTGAACACACTGTTCCATTTTAAACCTCACGCGTATGTCCAGTGGGCGGTTGTTTTAGGGAATTGTGTTTCGTTCCCTTTACCATTATTGTGTCTCTTTTTCATCTAAGTGACTGATCTATTATTTTTTTTTTGCCCATCTCTCCTAGATCTCAGACCTGATCCGACAAAGCACAAAGGAGTCCCCAGTCTGGGAGTTCCTCAGCTTGGGGTATGCACTCATGCTCTGCCCGTTTGTCGTTGTCCTAGGAGGGATGTTTTTCCTGGCCACAGCCCTCTTCTTCCTAAGTGACCGAGCCAAAGCTGAACAACAGTGAGTAACCTGACAATTGCGAATGGGGAGGTACCGCAGCCTGTTTTCT